GATAATTTTTTACTTGACCGAAATAATTTGCCTGTTGATATCTTATCGTAGTCATAAAAACAGCAATTTTTCACGAACGTTCCAGGTGTCAGAATCAGATTGACTGCTGCTGATTTGAGACGAATTGACGAAGGCGACCCGCAGCCTCGGTTCTCTTGTATGAATTCGAATTATAGTTACCATGTTACGATGTACTGGCGCTACTGTGCCATTGCAGGAATGTTGATCTGTGTTATTTTAACGAATTTAAGTAGCTCAATTTTGATTAATTGCTTACCATGGATGGGTAATTTCATTGTCTAGTTATGCTTAATTGTTCATAGAATGTCAGTCATTCATGAGTACATGACCACATCAACTACTGTAGCAAGTTGTCTTTTATGTTACTTTCTTCTTCCTCTTCTTGTTCTTAAATTGTGCCACTACTTGTAATGTGCGCAACTGTTTGCTTGCCTTGAGTTATTGAACAACGTACCTGCAAAAGTATCGAACATTAGGCTACTGAGGTACTTGCAAAAAGTGACTTCTAGCGTACTATGGTTGGGAATACTGTCCCAGAAGGTCCTACTACAATTAAGCACAACCCAGAGCCTTTCTTTTGTTAGGTTTGTTATCACAGTAATTTATTTGTGCGGCAGAACCACATTCCGCCAAATATTCGTCCTATCTCCTCAGCTCATGGTTGCTTTTCCAAATAATGTAATAAATCTTTAAATTAAAATTTAAGATTTACTTTTAAATCTTTCATGCCATCCTCTCCGTTCTTTAAAATGCCTTTGTATTTTATATCATTTGAATTTTTCGATTTTGTAAATGTTTTGTCCATCATTGTTTTGTTTTCGTTGCATTCGGTATTCAGAATGCTTTTCATTGAACAGTTCCTGAAAGAAGGATACCAAGGTTGCTGAATGGCTAGAGCGTTTGACTCAGAACCGAGAGTTCGCAGTTTCGAGTCCCAAGCATTGTCATTCGTCTCTTCTTTGTGAAGAAGAAAAAATTTTAGAAATTAAGCTTTTTCTGCGTAGCTATTGTCGACTGCTTTTACAGTAGAGCACTTCTGACTGATGTCATAAAAATGAAGAGCAGCACCCATCAGCCATTAACTTCTTGAAGCAAAAGGCTGCAAAATGGTCTTATCGTTAAAGTGTCTGTGAGTCAGGTATTCGAGTAGTTACAGATTTTCCTTTTTTATGGCCCAAGGGCGCTAAATAT